CACCCACTATATACAAGTCAGGGAGAAGGAACTAACATTGAATTTAAGAGAAATGAAAACAGTAATTGTTCAGCAAGCATGAAATTAACTTTCAATATGATAAGTATTCTCTTAATACATTTATTAAATTGGGAATAATTTACTACATTACCTGAAAATGGATCAGGTTTCAATAGCAATAACAATTAAACCTTATCCTACTAGGTGAGATCGACTTGTCAATAACCAAGCAGAGTATTGAAAGTTTAATGAATTAGTTAATGACATTGCTTGTTAGCTTCTCAGACACCAAATTGACTCAAAAAATTATTACTAGTAAAGGATTCATTAAATGCTCAATGAATGATTGATGCTGTAAAAGAATCCTAAGCCTATTAAAGCTCAAGAAGTCACAACTGTCTTAATTCACTCTTTGCGTGTTTTTGCTGCTTTTCATCTTTTCCTTAAATCTTTACTTCATCATGAGGTATTTATTGTATTTCCAAAGTTTCCAAAAGCCATAAAGACCAACAAGTAATACGACACACTGCAAAAGTGTACCAACCTGTTCTATCATTTTACGTTTAATCTCTGCAACAAAATATCACCGGATTCATTTTGTTATGTTCTAGTAAAGCAATTGATGAACAAAATGAAGTAAAATAGCAAACACAAACAAACGATAGTGTATTCTACCAGAAAGGAAAGAGAATAATTTTGTATACCAGAAAGAAAAAGAGGAAATAATTATTTCTCTTATTATTTTATTTGAGATACAACTCAATGATTTATAAGTAGAATCAGTTCCTAAAAAAGGAAATAGGTCTGTTATGAATCAGGTAAGAGGTAAATACAAATATAAAATCTCCTATGATTTATCAAAATTAGATTTTATAATAATCTAATTTCTGATACAAAATTATTACAAAAATATATCAACCTAAATCCTAGAAATAACTCACAAAGTTGGTGCATAGATGTTTACCATGGCAACTTGCTAACAAGTAGTTCAAAGTTGGTCTTACCAAGACCCTTGGTGAGAATATCAACCACTTGTTGAGTGGTTCGAACAAATGGCAGACAAATAGTCCCTTTGTTAAGCTTTTCTTGAATAAATGCCTATCAATCTCCACATTCTTAGTCCTGTCATGCTGTACTGGATTTTGTGCTATACTTGTTGCACTTTGTTGTCACAGTATAATTTCATAGGTAGAGTAGTAATAATTCATAATATTTTTTGAGATACAACTCAATAATTTATAAGCAAAATTGGTTCATGAAAAAGGGAACTAGTATGCTATAAAATCAAGTAAGAGGTAAATACAAAAATAAAATTTCCTATAATTTGATCAATATCAGATTTTATAATAATCTGATTTCTGATACAGAATTATTACAAAAATATATCAGCCCAAATCCTAGGAATAACTCACCACACATTCTATTAGAAGTTTACCAATTAATTGCTCCTGATATCCCTTTGCCGTTCATAGCACATTGGCTGCATAGGCCAGTTCTCAGTTGTTATATTATTACTTGTGCTTTTATGAAATGTTAATGGTTTTCATTTCTAGCTTTTTGAATCCACATTACCGAGCTAAGCCAGAGAGAATCATTTAGTGTTGAACTACCAATACTGACAGATTAAACCAAGACTAAAATGGACTCCTAATTGCCAAAGTAGGATAAGGATTATGTATACTTTCAAAATGTACACATTTTCAATTAAAAATGATAAATCTAGCTTATATATATTGAAATTTTCTTCTCATTGTATTGATCCAATTCATAAGACTGTTATTCAAGACCATTGCAGGTGAGCGTATTCACCACACTCATACACTTGCTCTCCTTGCTTTCTACCTAGAAAAGTTTATGACTTCAGAATCCTAAAACTACGAGTTATGCAACAACTGGTGCGGGAACATAAAAAAATAAAAATAAGAAGGGGAGCATTGCTAGGAATACGGCCCAGTAGTACAATTTTTTCTTTGTTTTGAAGAAGAGAAACAAGAATTGCATATGCATTTTAACAAGCTGTTAGACTGCCTATTAAAAATGTGTATAGAAAAGACATTGGGGGTATTCATTATGGAGCCACAACAACCCAACTTACTATACATGTTTCTTCAAGGTATTTATATGCATCCAACAACCCACCTAATAAACAAGTTTATCCTATTTAAATTTATACAGAAAGTTCTATCCTGATTTATAAATAGCCGAATCATGTAATGAGTATACAACTAGAGGCATAGTATGAGACACAACTAGTTCAACTACCTCATAATCCAGAGGCATAACCAATAATCACTTCTGCACCATGCACTGCAGATTAGATGAAGATTCCAAGAACATAAATTTTGTCATCTCAGAGTTGGGAGATATATTCAGCAGGTAGCAAAATCAAAGACGGCAACACTTGAAGATGCAAGATAATTAGGACAAAAACCCCACATCCAATTTTATGCCAAAATGAAGCAATTCAAAACTGCATCACATAAATGGTAAACCAGTAATTTGCTATGCATGGAAATACAAAAAAAAGGGGAAAATATCTTGACATGATAATATAATGGCAGAAATGAGTAATGTGGTGAACAGAATCATGAGAAGCAGCGGAGAAATCAACGCAGAAAATTCCAAAAAAATTTGGACCATTTCTCGATTTGTGCGTGTCATCCTTGCGCAGGGGCCATGCTAATCTTCTCTGTATCGTTCCAATTTTATCGGATGTCCCCGAAGGGACAAGCTCAGGGGTACCCATGTGTTATATAAAGAGGCGAGATAACAGTAAATTAAATGATGTGGGACTAACTTAACACCATAGGCAGATAACATACATCTCCTCTCCGCTATACGAAAACAAGAACAAGAATCAAACTTTTCTAGGGAGAACTGCAGGCGATCCGGATCCCGTAGGGTACTGGATTGAAAATCCAAACTCGATCCACAACAGGTGTTACCACTGGCGGGAGTAAATTTCTTTCACCATCCCTACTAACTAAATATTTTAAATAATTGAAATAGAAAATAAATATTTCTAAAATACACTAAGCATTATATTTTTGTTAAATAATTTTAATTTTTTCAACTATTGCTGAGAAAATTCCTACTATTTCTATACTAATTAATCCAAGATGTTAATTAAGTTAATACACTTTTTAAGATAATTTAAAAATATACAAAACACTATTTTTACAAGTGTGTGTGTATTAATTTATTTTATTATAAATATATTATAATTTTTTATGCATATTTTTATAATCCAATGTATTAAACAAATCAATAAGTTTAACATTATATGATTAGTTTTTCCACTTTTATTTATAATCAATTTTAATAAAATTTTATTAAATGCAATTTGTGGCCAATATTTTATTTCTATTTTTAACATCTTATGGTCACCAACATAAAGTTTTTATATATAATAATTTCTCATAAAAAAATTTTAAATACAATTTAAAGGTAATAATTATAAATTAATTTTATAAATAATTATAAATAAATAGAGAATTAAATAGTAATATTCAATTTTATACACACTCCTGTAATAATTGTTTTGAGTATCATTGAATACCAAAACGTCCAAACAATGGGTTTTGACATTAACATTATTTATTGACTCTATTGAGTAAACCTGTTTCAAAGATCCATCAAAATAATTCCTAATATATTTAAAATGTTATTTTAGTTTTTAACATATATAATGTCAATCATTTAAGTTGCTATAATTTTAAAAATTCATCAAAATAGTCTTTAAACTAAATAAAGTGTTATTTTAGTTTCCAACACATGTAATTATTAATCATTTTAGTCTTAAATACATATAATTGTTAATTATTTTAGTCTTTATCGCCACTTAGATATTTATTATTATAACGAACCAGTTAACTTAGTGCATGAAGTGTTAGTTGGATATGATATGTAGCATTTAATGATATGAAGAATTTTGATCAATTAATTTAGTCTCTATAGAATTTAAAATCTAGAAAATGTTTGGAAACTGAATTAACAATTTTTGAGAAAAATAAACTTCTATTAGTCATATTATTATTAAAGATCACATAACATGTCTAATTAATACTTGACATGTCTACTCATTTTGCCACACTAAGGTCTAGGTAATAATAAAGACTAAAACAATTGACAGTTATATACATTGTAGAGTCAAATAATTAAGATTACATGCATTAATTTGCTTTAAAATGATTGACGAGAACCACCCCCAAGCACCATGCTCCCACCCAACCTAGCAAGCCCATAACAAAATATCCACTAATAATATTTAGGAAAGTTGGGTTGTTTGAACCAAGATATGATCATATTAGGGTCGTGAAAATTTTAAAGGTAACCTTAAAAATAAAAGAAAAAAGTATGTATAATTCGTTCGGATTTACAGTCGTAAAATTTTGTAATGCCCTACATTATTCTAAATAATTTAATTTATGCTTTAATATAGATAATAAGTTTTACGTTGTAAAAAAAGCACAGATAAGTTTGACTTCTTGAAGACACACAAGAAATACAGATGGCGTTTTGTCTTAAATTTGCAATCAACTGCTATCCCTCTACTGTGTGGTAATACTATACTATACTAGTACACTTAATTTTTATTGGTAGCCAATTGAGCTACAAGTTCCTTATTCCCTTCTTAAATATTCAAATTCCCTTTTCCCTCATCGCTTTAAATTTATTTTCATTGCGATGGTTGATAATCACATTTACACTATTTGATTGAAGATATCATCCATCTAAAAAAGATAATACTTTAACAGTGCTTTTCCAAAGCTCAAACAATATCTATCTTCCGTCAACCTCTGTTCAACAGTCGATGCTGAAACAACCTAATCCACACAAATTGGTTTTCCCATGATTAAAATTCCTTAAAAAAAACTGTTATTTACATATTTAGCATTTTATATAATCCCTTTCCAACAAATAATCCAAATTAAACTAAATTGTTAGATATCATTTTTAATAGGCCATTGACTAAAAAGAAAAGTAAAAATTGTTCTTTTAAAAGTGGTGGGTTGTATTTGTAACACAAACATTATCCTTACACAATTAATGAACCAGGAACTGTATGACTTAATGGTATTATACATGGTACACAATCTTCCTACTTAAAAATAGAATAAGTGATGGAAAATGTGTCTCAATTAGTTCATCATCCTAACACACCAACTACATTCAATTCAAGCATCAGAGGCAAGTTAGCAAGAACAATTCTGCTTGATCCATCTTTGATGTCCTCCAGGACACACTCCCAATACTACATGTCATCAGCATTAAGCCAGACAGAGAGAGAGAGATAGCTGCAGCAACTCCCGCAGGTGCAAAGGCTAATTAATTGGTAAGCATAGTACAACATCAAGCAAAGCAAAGCAAAGCTCACTCTCAGAACACCAAACAATTTCTTCTTAGACGCAGAACAGTGAAAACAACACTTACAAAAACCTTGCAAATGCCTACAACCCCCCATACTGCACATACAATAATTTTGCCATGGAGTTACCACATGAGCAATGTAATTTTTGTTTAATAACTGTAAAATCAAATCTTCAAGTCCCTTTGGCCACACTATTTGTTGCATAAAGGCTACGTATTACGGTTCTCATGTGTCAAGCTACTACTGGAACCTCCAGCCACACGGTTTGGCTCCCCCACCCTGCCTGCCAAAGCAAGAACTTCCGGAGACATTTCCCAGCTTCCACTTTTCCTTCCCCAGCTAGATCGCCTAGGATGCATTCCAGCACGGTCTGCTTCATCTACTGTTGTCCTAATTTCAGGAGACAATTCACCATCCTTTATAGTCACACGATCATTGTTCATTTGAGCTTCAGAATCATCAATTCCAGCACCCATGTCCCACACTGTTTTCCTGCCCATCTCTATTTCCTCACCAGCTTTTCCCATATTTTGGTTCATAAAGCCCCCACCCACTGATCGAGCAGGTAATGCTGGTTCATTTGGCACCAATGCCCTGAAATTGTTCTTTGATGGGGGAATGCTGATGCAGAATATCTCTCTGAAATTATTCAACACTCCTTTATTATATGGGTTGGCTCGTCGATCATATCGGTATCTGAAGTTCTCATATGTAGTCTACAGAATGATGGAATAAATATCAAGCAGTATATACATCTGAAAAGCCAGCCTATATTTTAAGTTATGTGGATTATAAAGAACATTACTTACCTGATTTGTGCTTATCAAATATAAATGGAAGGCAGTGAGGCCGCCTACAAACCACATTGATATAAAGGTGTAAATTATTAACACGATGGAGGCTGGTGTTTTTATCATTGCTTTCCAAATTGTTGTCTCCTCTGACCTCATAATTCTTCTAATATAGACCCAACAAAATGCAAAAACATATATACAAAGTAGTGTAGTTGAGAAGACAAACATGAAGAAGAACCGATAATTGCGCTGCATAATAATTGCACAAGCATTAGATACATAATGCATATTGAAGAATGACACGAAGCAAATGACAACTGAAAAGTAATCAGAATAAAAAAAATGAAGAACTCATCCAGGAATGAAAGACAACTAAAAGCATGAGCATGCAAACAGAAAAGAAAACCAAGTCCTTATATTAAGGAATCACCCCCCCCCCCCAATAAAATAAAATTGGTTAAATATCTGGAAAGGGAAATATCAACTAATCCAGAAGCACTAATGAGAAGACAAATGCCAGGCGGATCTCCTAGCTTAATTAAGTTCTACTTAAAACTTGTCATCTTCTCCATTGAAAAAATATTCCTATTACAAAGGCTCATTGGAGGTAACATAGTAGCAGTAGCATTTCTCCATCCTAATAAAAATAAATCAAAGTATTCATATTTTAGTGTCCCAACAGGTTCTGAACCGAAGAATATGAAAATTCTCCTAAATTTCCGATATAGCATTCATAATATCAGCTTCTGAAGTACAAATTATGGAGGATATAATTGAAGAGAAATTTTACATGTCGTAATTCACTTGCAGGAGAATATACACCCATTAAGGAAATACTTCAAAGCTAGATTTTGTAGAATTTTGGATTATCATGCATTACCAACTATAATAAACTTGAAAGTAAAATTACACTAAAAAACTACAAATAAAGCTAGATTGAACTTCATAAAGTTATAAAACATGATAGCTTTTAGCAGAAACCATGTACAACAAAATACAATTAAACAATGTCAACAAGTTCAAAGATGACTCCAAACCATCTCATTTACAATTAATAAGACTACTCACTACAAATAACATATCTACTTCTCATTTGATCATCAAATTGAGTAAAGGTCACCTTGACCCAAAACTTTCTTTACCAAAAACAAAACAAAAATGCAGACAAAAGATCCAACTTACCAGCCCAATACACTGCCCAACCCAGGGACAGTGATGATCAAACCGCTCTACACAGTTATTGCATATTGAACAGTGCGAGCATCGAGGAGGCCTGTAGAGCATGCATGTATCACAGTACTTGACCTTAATAGGGATGCCATTGACTTCAACCTCCTTAAAGCGAGGCAACCGCAATTGAGGAGTCTGGCCAGCACCAGCATCAACATTACCATCCAAACCCTCCGGCTCTGGAGGATGTGCATTGCGTGGAATTATGCCTGGATCTCGGCCAGATGTTAACAGAAGAAGAACTAAGACCTGAAAAGATTGTTGTAGCATCAGCATAGGATTGGAAAGAATATCTTTTGGTGTTGTAGCACAGTAAATTGGAGATACACCTCTAACATATGCAGAAAACGCCAAACAATAATAAAGCAATAAATAAAAAGTTAATAGCTGTACACAAATCATGTCATTTTGGCAACTAGTAAGCCAAACACCAAAATAAAGAACAAACATATAGGTGCAGCACATCAAAATTCACCTTTTAAAATAAATTCCTCACATGTAGTGTTTTCAACAAAAACAAAAAGCACCTAGCAGACTAACTTTGGTCCTTTAAATGCTATTATTTCATTATAACCTCCCAAAAAATTGATTTCGATATGTCCTAACAAAATAGTACAGCGATCGTCCACTCAAACATGAATGAAACAGTATCTAACCCAGCTGTAGTATAACATCCTGCTTTGCATGACATAATTTACATAAAATGAATATCATCGGAGTCAATTTCATTAATCCTCTAAGATCTACCCACATTGACACCCTAAACCCTGTAGTTACTTAAAATTTGCCAGACAGACAGATCAATTATAACCACGTAGAATTGTAAACCTACTATGGTATTACCAATCAAAGTCCTTATAATCAGGTTGTTGCAGCAATTATGATCCACCGCCATAAGGCTGGGCTGTTTAACTAATTGAACACAATTTATTTTGATATCTAGATCAGATGGACTAAAAACATTACCCCATCCTCTGCCTCCAAGTCTTCTGTTGTCCTTTCAGGGAAAGTTGGAAAGATTGAGTCATATGATTGTTCAGCATGACATGCACTCAAGTAAAAAGAAAATCATATGGAAGAATGTACCAACCAGATACACAGTTAGGCTCCCATTCCCCTATGTCACCAGTTTTGCTATTGCAGGGATGTAAAATTATTAGTTTAAGCTGTTACTGAACATATATATGATCATAGCCAATGCTATCAACATCACAAATTTCCTTATAAGATGTCAAAATCCTATGAGTTTCATAATGTCTCCAATCCTTTCAACACCTAAGACTGCAATCTGGTGGTATGTAGTGGATCTTTGATCTGTGCCCCTAGCTTGGAAAACTTCTTTTGATATGTTTTGGTAGAAGCAAGGAGTGTAAAGTTGTATTGAAGCATGCTATATACACTTTCATTTGGAATCCCCAATTAAAGCTGAATATTCAAATATCAAGGGAAAGTTACCAATAAACTTGCTATGGAGTAATTTGTTTCCATGGCCTCATGATGATTTTCCATGGAACACTTCCAGAGAATCCCCTTCATAATAGCTATGCAGCATAGGGATTGCAGAAGTCTTTTGCAAGATCATTATTACTATTTTCTGCAACATGGTTTAAGGGGGAGGATGTTCACTTCTCCCTTCTCTTAATATACTATCGTTTTCATCTAAAAGAGCAACAACTCATGATAATTGGCATAACCATGGATTCCACCTGCTTGTTAGGACTTAGGATTGCATTAGCTGCACTATTTAGAATGTATTAGTTTTGCAATGGCTATGGCTAGTTTTGTTTTGGTAATTGTTCCTATACAATTACATGAAAAGCACATCAGTCTAGGCAGTATTTCATTGATAAGTTAACCAAATTAGTCACTTCAATCATGAGTGTGAGGAGATGAATATAGAGCAATGCTTCTCATTATTCTAGTCATAGAAGATTGTCAACACAGATGAACAACATAGAGGAAAAGAAAATTCTTCCTGTAGATTAAGAAGACTTACATAAACTGTGAACACAACAGCAACAACCATTATGGATATACCCCAGTGATCAGAAAAATCATCCATCAGTTTTCTGGCAACAAAGACACAGAAAACTGCGACAGGAGCAACAATAAGAAAAATTGTCAGCGCCAGTGATCTCACATCTGGTCCAAATATGAACCTTCCCTGAAGAAAAAATTTCTGCAAGAAAATGATCAAAACAATGAATTAGCACCTCCATAGTCAATTAGTCGTATAATGGCTAGACACTGTAATAGATTTCAAATATCATTTAGCACTGGCCATGGACATTTTGCTATTTTTATAAAGATTGCATAACAAATAAATTATAAAATAAAGGTAGGACAGTAAGTACATCAAGGTTCAACAGCTCACAGGCCAAAAGGATAAAAGCATATGAGAAAAGAAAGTACACCAAACGAAGTAGAGGCTTAAATACTAGTAACAATAAATTTGCAGATACCATCAGAAAGTTGCTGCTCCAATGATTTATTTAGAACATACATTTATGTTTTGTGCTTGCCGAAAATTATAGGAGAAAGAGCATAGTAGCTCAACGAGTATAATAGTATGATCCACTTTATTTTCTCTCACTGCTTATGTATTTATTCCATCATCCAAAATAAAGAAATTACATCACATATATACCACAGAATTAAAATAACAAGCAGATTCAGTAATTAAAATTAATTTTTATTCTGATCTACAGCAACTTTCTTTCCTAACACACCCAAAATTGCAAGGCTTGTGATTTTCCCCGATATAATTTAGGAAGGAAAGAAATTATGGCAAGCAACTAAATAATGGAAATTATATGCACTAAATCTGGATCGACTGCAGTTCAAAAAGCACTGCAGATGGTGCAGTCAAAGATCTAATAGCTTGTACCCTATTTATTATTTTTTACCCCTTGTTTTGTTTTAATAATATAGAAAAAAAAAATTTTAAGTAAAGAATCTCAAAAGTTTTTTTGAAAAGTAGAGGACTTTGATCCCTTCCCATTTTAGTCCAAAGCGAGTAAAGATTTGAAAAAATTCAGCAACAGATAAAAAGCAACACAAAAGTTCATTTTCAGGTTCTACTATTGTACTTGAAACAAATCAGCTTAAATCTAACACATCAATCAAATGAAGAAGGCCAATTGATGTTGTAGTTTCTGGTAACCATCACTGGTCACTTCACTAATATTGCTTCAGTACCTGACAAAAATCTATCCACATAAGTAAATCCATCCATTTTTTTTGTACCAAAGTTTCTCAAAGTCAGCACATAACCCTATCACTAGAACCCTTCCCAAACCGTAGCATTCCTTACATAAAAATCCAATACCAATACAAATTAAAACTACACACACAAAGAAAAGAACACAGCAACAACCAATACTAGAAAAACTACTAAAAATTTAGACGCATAAAAAGTACTCACAAAAAAGGGGAATTTTCTGACAGCAGAAATGTGACACACCCAATAAACAAATTCAACAAAGAATTTTCTTTTTAAGAGAAAACAAGTAACCAAATAGGAAAACCCAGAATCATAACTCACATTACTACCCTTCCATGCTTGGTAGACCCGCAAATCACCGGATCCTGAACCCGGATCGGAGCGCTGCGGCGGAGGCACCACGTACATATCGTCGACGCACAACAAAATCTCACAATCACTCAGTTGAAGTGATTTCAGAAAATCAGCACCAAAAGTTGAAAATAAAATTAGAGAAAAAAAGGTGAAAACTTGAAGGGTCTCTAAGGTTCGAAATTGAAGGCCATGGGCAAATTCCGATACCCTTTTGGCCAAAGTTTCCGGCGAACTCAACGGGTCGGGTCGGGTCGGCGACAAGTCATGAGGGGTAGTTGGGAAGGAACACAAGGTGATGCTGTAGTGTAATGCAATGCAAGTAAGGGTTTTTTCTTTTTCTCTCTCTCTGTGGTGATTGTGGTGTGTGTGTGAGCTGGTTTTGGTTATTAGCAATAGCAAGGGATTCTTCTCTTTTGGACAACTACTTACTGTGTCACTGTATGATGATGTATGTGTAATGTATGTATGTATGTCATTTGCTTTTCAGCATCATGGAAAATGACGTGCCTTATTTTCGTTGGATGTTAATGTGATAGGGGATTGTGGATGGTGTGGCATGCTACTCACTACTTTTTTAACAAAAAAGATTGTGACCCTTTCCTCTTTTTTTCTGGCTGGGTAGCTTTGACGACTATTTTCTAAATCTATTCTTAAATTTAATTTAAATATTCTTTTAGTGTAATTTTTTTATCCTGTCATTCAATTATTAATTATTATATTAATAAAAATCGTTCATTTTGATAATAATTAATATAAATATATATTTTTCGTATATTCTAGTTAATTAATAAGCTAAAGTTTTTTATACGAATAATATACTAAAAATAAATTTTATTTTTAATTATAAAATTATTTTATTTAATAAATTTATTAATAAGCCAATTCATGTTTATAATATCATATTATAAGTAAGTTTATAATGAATTTTTTTTATTTTTAAGACAATGCAGTATTTGAATAAAATATTTTTAAAAAATTATAGTAATATGTAAATTTTAGAAAAAATAAAAAAATTTGATACTTTTTATAAACTATAAATACTAATATTTAAATTAATCTAAAAATATATTAAAAGAAGTACCTTTCAAAACTTAAAAAATGAACTTCTAACAAATTTTTTTAATGATATAGAAATTTTATTTTGTTTTTTACTTTTAAATTTATCTTGTATACATTATCTTCGTAGTAACGAGAAAAATATCAACAGTCAAATTAATAAAAAAAAATTGTAAAAATAATATTAAAACATTATTTTACTAAATTTAACGCTTAATGTCCATAATCTTAACATAGATTCGACTTCTGAATTGAAATACAACAGCCATCTTAACTTTTGAATTCTAAGAAAATATTTATTTTTTCTGATTAACAAAATTCATATTAAAAATCTATTTAAAGAAAATGAATAATATTTTCACTTGAACAAAGATGTGTTAATTAGGAAAAGCAAGTTGAATCCAATTAAAAACCAAAAATGGAGAATGAGATGCAGTGAATGAGGGCATTCCCTATGTGTCTTTCTCATGCGTATCTGAAAAAGATTATGAGATGGACACTGAGGTGATGATGTCCCCATTCCTCTCTACTTTCTAGTAAAGTTATCGCCATCGTTTAGCTAACTTCAACCTCATCACTATTCTCAATGGTTCCTATTTTTCTCCCATTGACAATGAAACTTCATTTATGTTCGTCTTCCATATTTTGCCATTTTTATTACAAAAAGAAAACAAGATAATGCATATAAGCATCATTAAGAAGAGATTTAGCAATGAATTAAGATAGAGATTACTCTCTTATCCACAATTTTTTTTTATGAATAATCAATCATGTTTAGAGTATGATGTGAAATATTTCTTTGTTATTGATCGATTACATTTAGAGTAAAAATAGTTATGAACATTTTTTCATGCATTATTTTATGTTTTTTTTATATTTTTTTATTGGTATAGTTAATCTTGTCTCATTTTTATTTGACTATATTTTAATTTTTTTCTCATTAAATAATTTTCCTTTTTTCCATCTGCCGCTTTAAGTAATTAACACAAAAATTAAGAAATATAATTTATTTTTTGAATTTTAATTAAATAATAAAAAAGATAAAATAGTAATTTTAAATTAGTCTTTTATTTTATTGTAACGATATACTTGATGAAATATAATTAATGTTATTTTATACTTTTAAAAATGACAAATAAAAACAATTTTTTCTTAAAAATATTATAGATAAAAATGATCGATGAGAATATAAGATTGTCTTCTTCATGTAACTTGAACATTATTTTTATATTTAATAAGTTTCTGAATACTAATTGTAATATTAATAATTAATAAATATTTAAATGATATTAAATCGATTGCCACAACAACTATTATGAATGTTATTGAAAGTTTATAGTTATTTTAAGGAGAATTGGACGTCACCTGAGAATAGGGGTCATGAGATGATTTTAGGTGTGTTTCGGTATATATTTCAATGAGCGTTTATTTAATAATTATATATATATATATATATATATATATATATATACATCATAAATTTAAGTATGAAAATTGTTAAAAATAAGTGAATAAAAATGTATTTTGATAAATTAAATTAAAATTTTATTAAAATAATTTTTTTAAAAATTATAAATTATTTTTATAAGTTACTCATTAATTTTTTCAAATATTTTTTTATTGATTAATTGTAACTTTTTAATGCCTGTAATAAATATATGCTTAGTTTAACTTAAGTCTTTGGATAAAAGATAAATAATATTTAGGAAAAACTATATGTTAAAAAGGATTTCAATAAAATTATAATTCTATTATTTTAAAATGCAATATACACATGTATATAGAATTACTCATATTTGCTGATCGTTACTGCTCTAGATAAGCTAAAAGTGAACAAAGAAACTTTGGCCTCAAGCCTTTCACCAATGGCAAGAGACACTTCAATATATACCTGAGATAGTTAAATGAAATGCTCTTTTTAGGTAAAATAAATAAATATTAATTATTAAAGTTTATAATAAATGATTAAAATTAAATAAACAAGTTATTTCATTTTAAAAAATATTTTTAAATAAATATATAACTTTAAAAAGAATTAATCTTAAATAATGTGGTCGTTCAACTTAAATTTAATTTTCTTAACTTTGTATAAAAATTAATTTATCACTATGTATAAAGACACACAAAAGTTTGGATAAAATATATTAGGTACCAAATTTAGTAAAATCACACTTGTAAAAAAAATCATCTAAAGAGAATTTGATCAATATAAAAATTGATTAATCTAATATTATTGTAAAAGTTATGCATATAAAAATTTTACACAATTTAAATATTTGTAGATATATAATTTAAATAGTAATTATTACTTTAATTGTTAATTTAATTCTAGATACTGATTTTTTAAGACTGTTAATTTAATTTATTTTATAAGAATTTAAAATAAAAATGATTAAATATATTGTTTTATTAACTTTCACATGTGATATGATTTAGTTTTGATTATATATTGAAGCAAACGAGTAAACAGCTATGATGGCATCCGAACGATGGAGTCATGGGCATCAATGATGAATCTGCTGCTGATTAGTATGCTCCTTTCCTTGCATTGGAATTGTAAAGGTAAAAAAAAATGGCCCTTCATTTTGCCATTAAAAAAAGGGCTAAGAGCCTAAAACGCATGTTTATAAGTAAAAAGAAATCAAAATGTGGGTCCTCTGTTATTGGCAGTTATCATATCCTCCAATAGAAAATCCTGTGTCTCTTTTGATACTTTTCTTTTCTTAGCTCACAAGATCAAGTAATTGGGTCACTGGGAGCAGTTGATAGCTTCTACCTTTTATTTCAATATTCAAGATTGTCCTAACATGTATTCTATAATAAAAAATTAATAAATATTACAATTATAATATTTAATATTATCATATGATTTTTAACACTTAAATTCTATAATTTTTTAAAATTATTATATATATAAATTTGTATTGTATTATCAAGCCTGCGTTGAAAAAAAACCAATTTATAATAAATGTAGGTAAGGTATATTCCCTTTACGAACATGTATTCCATCTTTAACTTTTCAATGGTAATAGCAAGCAGGTAACGATATATTCCCTTTACTAAAATTTGCGAGTTATGATTAACTATTAAATTGACTTTTAGCAATAAATATATCAATCTTTTGGTATAATAAATGCAATTCTTTCGCTTTATCTTTAAGAATGTGCTGGCTCATTTAAGGAACAATAACAAATAGTGATAAGTTTAGAAATTACCAAAAGAGATTAAGAAAGCACTTTAATCCTCTAATAACTACCCGTGGTTGGTTGTAGTACTTTTGCATAACGAGCTGAAGTTTCCAAGCACCAAACATTCATAGCCCAACACAGGACATTAGACCCAAAGGTTTGTCAACTTACCTCACAAAATATGACATTCTCTCTCTCTCTCTCTCTCTCTATATATATATATATATATATATATATATATATACTTTTAGTATATTAATTAATATTTTTATACAATACAATAAAAAAATTATTAAATAAATAATTAAAAATATACATTTTATATACAAAACATTTTGGTAAAAACATTTATCTTTAGTTATATATTTTCTTAGCAAAAAACTTAAGATTTTCTGTTTTTGTTTTTTTAAGAAGCATTTATATTTTTTATATTTTAAATTAAAGTTTTGTTTTAAGTATCCACAAATAAAAATATTTTATAAAAAAAATATAATTATTATATTGAAATTATAAAAATATAATAAATATTTATTTTTTTAATAAAATTTTATTATTATTAACTGTTTATCTTCAGCTTGAAATTAACAAAATTTTTAAAGTTATTATTGTTGTTAGCATACTCTAAATTAAAGTTATCTCATTATTATTTGCAATACTTTGACCTAATTTGATGATTAAAATATTTAAATATACTTTTATTTTTTCAAGATATGATATATATAATTTAGTCTTTATTTTTGTAAAATTATTTTTTTATTTTAATCTCTACATTTAAAAAAAATGTTAGTTTTGATTTTTTACCAGTGTGACTCTAAAAAAAAGTGACATCTAAGCTAGTCACATTATTATTTAATAATTAGTAAATCAAAACTAATAATTTTTAAAAATTGAAACTAAAATAAAAAAATTATAAAGTCTAAATGTAATATAAATAAATAAAAAAGATAAAATAAGAATAGCATATATACTCTATTTTAATTTGACTTCGATAAGTTAACAAGATATGAAAAATTTATCTAGGTTAAACTATCAAATTCTATTGAATAGTTCAAATATGAAAAATGGTAATTATGTGAAAACAAATTGTATAATTTCTATTTTATAAATTAGAGAGAGAAAGGATGAAGATGAGTGATGTGATAAAAAAAATGCATAACATTTTTTATTGTTAAAAAATATTT